TTTTCTGGGTCAAATTTGACGAACTAGGACCATTGTTTCTACGCTTTAATTTGTCGACGCATCTCAACGCTTGTAAATAGTAATTTCAGTTTCAGTTCTTGTTCATTTTCTTTATTTTTTAGGAATCGTAAATTAAATGTGATTGGTTAAATGAATGTGTGTTACCTTTCCAGTTACATTATTTTTCAATTTTTTAACAAAAATTTTAACCAAACTGTGATTAGTAGCGATAAGATCGTAGAAAATAATATATCGATTTTATCGTCCAACGTAAACGTCACGAAAACGATAAAAAGCTCCCTGAAGAGAATGGACATAATTAGAGTCTAGTCATTAAGGAAATACGCATATAAGTCGACAAAAATTCCTGAGGGATCAATAAACGTAAACGATGAAGCAGAATTAACGACATATTTATTAGTCGTGGAAGTGGTCTCGATCAACAGGTATCATAATTCCTTTCTGTTATCGGAAATATTTGCGTCCAATTAAGATCTTCACGCGTTAAAGTTTCCGTTCTAATCAAAAGCGGCCTCTGGAAGTCCTTTCTCCTCGTTAAGAAATCGTCGAGTCCACGGTTTCTCGCTTGTCGCATTCGCTACTAATATCGGCCATTTATCGCGAGTCACGGTCTGCCATGAACGAATTCGCCGTATTTTTCTCGCTCGACGAATGCATTTCGAGCAACAGTTTCGTGCTGGCTTTTTTGCTAATGGAAATATCGTCCGTATGCGTTACACATACTCAGCCCAGAAAGCTAATTAACCATAACTTTCCGTAAATGGATGCAACGCGCGATACCCTCGTTTTATTGCCCGCTGTGTTCAAGGTGGTAACGAATATATTCCTACGGGACAAGATCGTTAGCGGGACTTTTAAATCCTTTAGGTGCCGCGTCCAGATACTTTGAAAAATAATTGGGAAAAATCTGCGACTCACTTGATACGCAACCTTGTCAATAAAAATAAACTATTAATGTAGAGCAAAGTTTTTGTTAGATCTGTTTGGACAAAATCAACTTTGCTGTGCTTCAAAGAATTATTTTATTAGGTCTGTTTGGACAAAATCAATTTTGCTGTGCTTCGAAGAACTTTTTTATTAGGTCTGTTTGGACAAAATCAACTTTGCTGTGCTTCAAAGAATTATTTTATTAGATCTGTTTGGACAAAATCAACTTTGCTGTGCTTCAAAGAATTATTTTATTAGATCTGTTTGGACAAAATCAACTTTGCTGTGCTTCAAAGAATTATTTTATTAGATCTGTTTGGACAAAATCAACTTTGCTGTGCTTCAAAGAATTATTTTATTAGATCTGTTTGGACAAAATCAACTTTGCTGTGCTTCAAAGAATTATTTTATTAGATCTGTTTGGACAAAATCAACTTTGCTGTGCTTCAAAGAATTATTTTATTAGATCTGTTTGGACAAAATCAACTTTGCTGTGCTTCAAAGAATTATTTTATTAGATCTGTTTGGACAAAATCAACTTTGCTGTGCTTCAAAGAATTATTTTATTAGATCTGTTTGGACAAAATCGACTTTGCTGTGCTTCAATGAATTATTTTATTATATCTGTTTGGACAAAATCAACTTTGCTGTGCTTCGAAGAATTTTTTTATTATATCTGCTTGGACAAAATCAACTTTGCTGTGCTTCAAAGAATTTTTTTATTACATCTGTTTGGACAAAATAAACTTTGCAGTGCGTCGAATTGTTGACTCATTAGAACTTGAAGAAGAATTTTCGAGCAAATAGAAACTTTGTATCTTGTAAGGATTACGTAATATTTAATGTAAAATATAAATTTGCTAACGTAACTAAAATAGTTAAGTAAAAAATATACTTCATAGGTTAACAACTGTATTTTTGCAGAGGTTCGAGACATTCGAAGGCAGAAATGCCGTCGCACGCGATCCAACTAGTAAACATTAACGATAATCGGGTCCCCAGCGATCATGCTTCTTCCTAGGCACATGGACGCGGAACAATTTGTATGACCACGCAAGAGTTGCATAATTCTCGCGGTGGTCACGAGAAACGGCCCTCGTAATTGCGTTCGAAATAAACGGGCCGAAAATTCGCAACCCCCTGTCTGTTTCCTTCGGAAATTAATAACGAATTTATCCCGGTGATAAGAGCCCATTTCTATCGTGCAGGATTCAACAAAATGTAACAAAGTGCACCTAATAAATTTGCATTAAGTGCACTTAATAAAATGCTAAACTATCTGGGGACATTAATGAATAAATCTTTAATAAAGTATGTAATGTTTTAGTGATCGTAACAACTGAAAGTAGCAATCTTTTAGTGAAAGTAGCTATTGAACTTCGGGGTGAATTTAAGTAAAGTTCAAAACAAGTCTTAGTATTTTCACGAAACTCACAAAGTGTGTGACTCTCCTCTCGTGCGAGTTTTCTTACAAAATCGCGAAAAATTAGGGAAATGGTGGATCGCAGGTGTTTCCTGTTTTCTCGGAAATTAACGGCTGACAATGATGCCCGCTGGCCGGATATTAGCGCACGCGAGAGCCCCGTAAAAAGAGTACGCGAGCGGGGGTCCGGTCTCGCCCATGCGATATCACGAGCCGCACGACCGGGTGCAATAACAGTGATTAAGCTTTATCGTGGCCGTTTCAACGGACTATTTATCTGTCGACCGCGAAATTACGCGCTGTAAAGACATAATAGGAACGCGATCCAATATTGTCGTCCGGTACTCGCTGGAACCGGACCCCGATCAAAAAACTACCGGTTATTAATCGGGAATTTAGCACTTTTATGTGTTCTAACGCGAGCGTACGACTTCATTTCCTTCGGGGAGCAACAAGACCGCGACGAAATACTTTGAATACGAAGTTGGTCTAACTAACCTAACCGTTCGCAAGAAAAATTCACTAGTACAGAGTTTACATAAACTCTATTTATGTGAACGAAAATTAAATGTCTGGGATTTTATTATTTTTCATTTAGGTTTTATGTAAATTATTACATAATGAAGGAGTGTCCTACTGTCGGACATCGGGTGTTTAGCAGCATTCCTATCAAGCGTAAAATCGATAACCCGGTTCGAAGTTCCTTCCTCGACGTGGCTGATTAAAGATTTATTTTGTGTCCCGGTAACGTCTTATTGGTATTGTTTCCTCGGTTTCGTGCAGACGGACGATCCTTTGAAACGACACAGGAAAACGTGTAATTACTTTACCTCGCCGACCGAGTGCCAGCTTGATGAATGGTAGAAAACGTTCCTTCGTGTTACTCATATCTGATATACGCTCATTGTCAGGAAACAATTGTTAAGCACTCGGAGGAATAAGCTGCACTCTGCCCCATAAATCAACCGCGATACGCAACCAACTATATTTCTCGGCTTTTGTATGCGAACGACAATTTCCTATAGGTCATTCAGTTGTCGTATTCTTATGCAAACCGTCGGTAAATAATCGTACCCTATTAGATCTCGCTTTTCTCTGTTTTCGAGACTCGTAGCCTTCGCGATTGGTCCTAACCTTCTCGCGTGCAGTTTGAAAAATAATCGCTGAATGCATATACGCGTTAGAAAAAAATGCAGGATAACACGAGCGTTGGCTCTGCGTCGCCTTACAAGCCTATTGTATTTTAATGGTTTCATGTACCACCGGAAAACCCGTAATGGGAATGCCGCGAATTTCTCACGGGTTCATTTTTCCCGCGTTGACAAGCTTTCGCCTGATCATTGTTAAATTTACATTCGGTGAATCTTCCGGTTTTTGATTTTTGTCAACACGTGTAGAAGTTAAACGGAGAGATAAAGAAACTTGTAATATTTTTTGGATCTTATCGATGACAGAGTAATAAAAATCGAATGTTTCGCATAACTTTTGCATGTAATCACAGCAGCGACATCTTAATCTTCCCGCTCGTACGATTTTTGTGTGTTCTATGAATTATTAATATCTTAATTAAAATCGAAGTCGTGCAGAGTTCTAACGGGTTTTATTCGTACCGGGAATATGATCACGAGAATATTTTGAACCGTGGGATAATTAGCGAACCGTTGCTCGTAAAAAACCAAGCATTCGATAATCCGAATAAAATTGTCGGGATCGTGACAGAACAACCGTTTATATAACAACGAGAGGATTTCTTTCCGAGTATACAAATTTATAAGTCCGTTAAACGGTTCTAATAGGCTATTGGACAATCGCCTATTAAACAATCGTGTAAGTTTATATTTCGCGAAAAGTCGATATACTTCGCAAACTTTCATGGGAACATAAATACCAAGCATAGGAACTAAATACCGTTTGATTATATTAACTGACCTTTCACTGCGAACAACAATTATTTCCCATTCGGTGGAAATTTATTTGCGAACTTGCAAACCGATCGATAGCCGATACCTCTTCGATTTACGTTATTTCGCAACGATCGTGGGACCAACTCTCATAAGCGAAAAATTTAAAGCGAGTACTTGTACCGATTGTTTAACCCACTGGTCGTCCGAGTTGTACACGTTAACTGCCACGGTAGAAGCATGCATTGTAAGGCATTTTATGAGCACTTTAAAAACGATTAAACTTTTACTTTGGCGGGATAGAAAGTTGGCGTATTCTTTTCCTTTATTGATTATTAGATTATGAGAAAGAGTCGCTGACCAGCGGTGAACCTACTTGTAATTGTCTATATATAGGACTATAGTAAAGAAATTTTTATGTATTGACCCATCACACATATTCTTAATAGTAGTATCCTAATAATTATTGGTCCTCACACTAGACCCTCCATTGCACCCTTCATTTACGACTTTCCCAAAATGAATTACAATTCATCGAATTATAATACTAACGCTACAATGCTAAAGTAAATGCTTCAGGTTAAGTACTAGACCCTCATGACAGTGAAAGTGTCAATTCTGAAATTTTTACATGATACCGATTGGCACCCTACGTCTCTATCGACGATCTAACCGAGCCACCGATAGACTTCTAAAATCCAAAAGTCGCTAATAAAAGCACAACTCACCAGAAGAAGGCCGATCCGAGTACCTGGTGCAGTAAACCCAGGCAGGCCAGGGTAACTGCTTTCCAGGATCGGTGACAGGTGGTCCAGACGCGTTGGAGGCAGGGTTCCCGGTCGGCACTGCTCCAGGCGACGCGTTAGTCGTGGAGGTCGTCTCCGAACTGCTCTTCTCCGAAGTTTCGGAAGACGATTCCAGGAAGTCTTTCGTCAGATCGATGGGTCTCGAAGTAACCTTCTTAGGTCTGGACTTCTTCAAGGAAATAGGATCCGTGATCCTTCTGCCGAAGTCTGCCTTCAGAATATTATCTATACTGAACTTCAGACCAGCCTGATGTTGCAGATTGTTATTATTGTTGTTGTTGTGATTATTGTGATGGTTGCTGTTGTTGATGCCGTTATTTTGCACCCCGTTGGCGGCTGGCATAGTCCTCCCATTCTCTTCTCTTCCTACGGGAGAAGCAGGGCTACCAGGCTCCCTTTGTAGTATCTTGCTAACGGACAAACGATGCTGGTGCACCGAGTTCGCGGGTATGTGTTGCACCTGGGAGGTCTGATGCAGATGCACGTGACTGTTGACGTGGTGCAGATGTTGTCCAGGGTGAGGCATCAACGAGGCGGTTTCCCGAGGATCTCTGCAGGCTGTCGGGTGGAGAACAGGGGTTGTCGCTTGCAGCCCGGTGACCGTCATGGCCGTCGGTGGCGACAGGGACAGTCTGGTCACCAGGGGGACGCTGATCGGGGTCCGGTGCAACCTCTCCACCGTGGGATACACGATTTCATGACCGAGAGCGTGCTGAACTCTCGTCGGGTAGTCAGAGATTTCGGGCTCTCTGGACGAGTATCGGGGTAACAAGTGCTGCGGATGACTGGTCTGGTACCTGGGCACTATGACGTCTTGAATAGCTTCCGGACGACCCGGGGACGAGGCGGTGGCCGAAGAGGAAGCCGGTGACCGGACCGAGGACGCCGTGGGCGACGAGGGTGGTTGACTGTACGCCGGTGGAAAATCCAAAAGTCGCTAATAAAAGCACAACTCACCAGAAGAAGGCCGATCCGAGTACCTGGTGCAGTAAACCCAGGCAGGCCAGGGTAACTGCTTTCCAGGATCGGTGACAGGTGGTCCAGACGCGTTGGAGGCAGGGTTCCCGGTCGGCACTGCTCCAGGCGACGCGTTAGTCGTGGAGGTCGTCTCCGAACTGCTCTTCTCCGAAGTTTCGGAAGACGATTCCAGGAAGTCTTTCGTCAGATCGATGGGTCTCGAAGTAACCTTCTTAGGTCTGGACTTCTTCAAGGAAATAGGATCCGTGATCCTTCTGCCGAAGTCTGCCTTCAGAATATTATCTATACTGAACTTCAGACCAGCCTGATGTTGCAGATTGTTATTATTGTTGTTGTTGTGATTATTGTGATGGTTGCTGTTGTTGATGCCGTTATTTTGCACCCCGTTGGCGGCTGGCATAGTCCTCCCATTCTCTTCTCTTCCTACGGGAGAAGCAGGGCTACCAGGCTCCCTTTGTAGTATCTTGCTAACGGACAAACGATGCTGGTGCACCGAGTTCGCGGGTATGTGTTGCACCTGGGAGGTCTGATGCAGATGCACGTGACTGTTGACGTGGTGCAGATGTTGTCCAGGGTGAGGCATCAACGAGGCGGTTTCCCGAGGATCTCTGCAGGCTGTCGGGTGGAGAACAGGGGTTGTCGCTTGCAGCCCGGTGACCGTCATGGCCGTCGGTGGCGACAGGGACAGTCTGGTCACCAGGGGGACGCTGATCGGGGTCCGGTGCAACCTCTCCACCGTGGGATACACGATTTCATGACCGAGAGCGTGCTGAACTCTCGTCGGGTAGTCAGAGATTTCGGGCTCTCTGGACGAGTATCGGGGTAACAAGTGCTGCGGATGACTGGTCTGGTACCTGGGCACTATGACGTCTTGAATAGCTTCCGGACGACCCGGGGACGAGGCGGTGGCCGAAGAGGAAGCCGGTGACCGGACCGAGGACGCCGTGGGCGACGAGGGTGGTTGACTGTACGCCGGTGGACTCGGCGCTGAGACATGGTTAGCCGCACGCTGATAAAACGCGTCGTTGCAGCTCGTCGAGCTGGAAGGCGATGGCGTCGCCGATATCCTGGTGTTCTCCTCGTCACGAAAGTCACAGCGACTGCTCGCCGATTCCTGGTCATACCTGACTGAGCCACAGCCGCGGATTCCAACGACGCTCGTGGGCGTCGGTTCGCTACCGACGCTCAACACCTCGCTGGTGTCGCTTTCGCAATCGCTGTCGGGCTCGTTGCCGTCGTTTCCTCGTGTCTGCTCCCGTTTCTCCGGGTCCTCGGGCTCTAACCGGGTCGTCAGGTGATTCTGCCTGATCTCGTGGAGATCGGACGAGTCTAAACCGATGGACGACGTCGGTGGAGTGTTTGACATCTTTTTGTCGCTTCTCTGTCTTCTCCTGGCGAAAGTTCACCCGACGACTCTAGCTCGAAGAGGTTAGGCCTCGTTCGACTTTAACCTTGTCATGTTGACGGCTGTGAACTCTCGAGGTTGTCTGCTTGTTCGTGTTTTAATCTACTTGTCGATTCGAGATGCTTGGGGCACCTACCTAACGGATTCCGTCCGTTCGATGTTGCCTGGAGTAACCGTCATCTTCGAGCAGGATACCTGCCCGATCATTAACCGACGTTGAATCGTTCAGATACCTCTGACATCTTAGTTACATAGCTTCGTAAATCAGCTCGCAGCATGCACTTTGACAGAAACTTCGAGACGGTTACACGCGTGTCCGTTATTACTCGTACTCCCCGAGCACTAGGTTCTCCAGTCTCTTTCCGACGGACACTGTTCAGCCCTGCTCATAACGGACTACCACGAACATTCTCTAGCTTCTTTTCCATCTTCCCCGCTGAACAGTCTGTCGAATGAAAATACACTAACGATCGATCCACCCGATCCACCGGTTCATTGCTCCAACGGACAGTCCAACCGATAACGAACCGTGTCCTTCGTACGAAGGATACTTGGTATCACCGATCCGTAGTACCGTCTGGAGATCCTCCGGAGACGTCCATAATCCATCGCACTCTCACTTTGTCGCGTTCCTGTTGCGCTCGACGAGTCCATGCAAACGGGGGAACCAGGGGACAACCGGGTCCACGGTGGTGTCGATATGACAACGGCAACGCGCACGAAACTCGGCCAGCGGCCAGGAAACCGAGGCGAAAACCGAGGCCAAGGAATCGGAATGGCGCAGATACCGAAGGGATAGACGAAGACGCGATGTCCCAGACGACGATCGGTGGAACCGTGGAGTCCTGCACGGCGCTGCTAGACGCGGGTTTCAACGGAACCGTTGTGCGACGCTGTGGATCCAGGCCGGGGCTGGTTGTCCAGTTGGTTGCCGCGAAGCGTCTGCGGCGAGGAAGCGGCGGGAGGGTCGACGATGGGCGTTTCTGGGCGTCGATTGTTCGCCCGCTACGCCCCTGAGCTGACCTTTTCAGGGGTGAAGACCCTGTCTAGGGACGAAACTACTCGACATCTGCCGGCTGCTGCCAGAACCAAGGGAACTCGTAACGCCCAACCTTCCACCACTTCGTGCAACGTGAACCGCTGATAGGCAACCCAGAACCTGCTTTTCCCCTCTCGTTCGACGGCTTCTCCTTCCTTCTTCGGCTTCGGATACCTTGTGGAGTTGGTCTCTCTTGATCGTTCGTCCCCACCGCGGTCGCGACCGCGGAACCTCCAGTCTCTCCGTGTTTATACGCACGCTACCCTCTCTCTTCGGCTCGAACCACCTCCTCTTCGTTCCACCTGGACGAAACGTTCTCCGTTCTACCTCTATCTGCTCGCCGGTGATCCAGTACGCTGCCCCCTCGTACGCTTGTCCTTTTTAGTCGGACGCTGTTCGTCTTCTTCCTGCTCGGTACTCGATTTATCCCCACCAGCCTTTTATCGCGTTGCCTCTCCGGATCGTCTCTGTCCCTCTTACCTGGACGACTCGTTTCCCGTCTCCAGCACGTTCCGCCTGTTCTTTCTGATTCCTCTATCTGCTCTTAGGCGATCCGGCTGTGTTAGCTCCTACCACGTTTAGCTTCTCTTCCACGGAGGTTCCTTCTTCGCTCGTCTATTTTTCTTCGCTCGAAACTCGCCGCTTTCCTCGCGCAGTCTCCCGCGAGGCGAGCGGTTTGTCTTCGCCAATTCGATCGACCCTCTTTCTCCTTCGTTTATTGCCATCGCCGTACTTCGCTTGCTCCCTCTTGCCGACGACCACACGCTCCGAGTTGTTCCTCCCTCAGTGGATAAATCAATTGCGCGAGGCAACGACGCTATGATCGCCGCTATTACGGTAATACGCCGTTGTAACAATACCCATTCGAGACATAGTATACGCTTATCTATTCAATTTCATCGTTCCTGGCGAATTGCCGAGGGGGTACTTTCAATAATTTCGTTCGCGATTCGGTAATCGGAACATTGGGACAATTTTTATCTTCCTTTGCTTCATTTTATACAGGGTGTCCGCGCCAAAGTGTTACACCTTAATATCTCATGAACTATTGATGTCACGAAAAAGTGCTTATATGGAAATTGCAGGGTAAAAGAGGCCCTATGTTTTGGCAGAAGCAAAATTTTTTTATTGTTATTAATGTAAAAGATATGATGGTGAAGTTTCGTTTTTTTAAATGGAACTATAATTTTTTCTCGATCAGGCGATAGTGCTTTTCAAGACGAATTCATCAAGGTTTTATGTACTTACCCGATTTTTATTAGTTTTCGAGATATAACGCTTAGAAATTTACTGATTTTCAGCAGTGACATCTCGGTTTGACGAGTAAGTCATAAAAACGTTCTTATTGTTACGGTAAGTGCCGCTGGTTTGACTCTGCCTGCCGAAACAGATAGGCGGGGTGTATGGTCAAAATGGCAGGTCCGAAGAGTAAGAAACGTGAAAAGTATTGTCCATTACGGTTTAAGTTTTCCGTATCGAAGATGATATTAATAATTTGGAAGGTTGGGACATTTATTTAAATGTTTCAGTACAAGGTAGGTATAAAGACAATTTAACAATATAACTGACTTGAAAAATAGAATACACAATGCATGCGTAAATATCCCGTGCGAAATTATGGAAAACGTCGAGAACGAATTTGTAAAACGTATACAAACTTGTATTTCAAATAGCGGAAAGCACATGGAATAAATTTTTTGCATATTATTTTTTGTTAAATTGTCTTTATACCTACCTTGTACTGAAACATTTAAATAAATGTCCCAACCTTCCAAATTACAATTAATATCATCTTCGATACGGAAAACTTAAACCGTAATGGACAATACTTTTCACGTTTCTTACTCTTCGGACCTGCCATTTTGACCATACACCCCGCCTATCTGTTTCGGCAGGCAGAGTCAAACCAGCGGCACTTACCGTAACAATAAGAACGTTTTTATGACTTACTCGTCAAACCGAGATGTCACTGCTGAAAATCAGTAAATTTCTAAGCGTTATATCTCGAAAACTAATAAAAATCGGGTAAGTACATAAAACCTTGATGAATTCGTCTTGAAAAGCACTATCGCCTGATCGAGAAAAAATTATAGTTCCATTTAAAAAAACGAAACTTCACCATCATATCTTTTACATTAATAACAATAAAAAAATTTTGCTTCTGCCAAAACATAGGGCCTCTTTTACCCTGCAATTTCCATATAAGCACTTTTTCGTGACATCAATAGTTCATGAGATATTAAGGTGTAACACTTTGGCGCGGACACCCTGTACAGTGGAGATGATATTGAATGATCTGCTAACATTTTTATTAGAACATTTTTAATCTTGATTTGGGGTGGCGTGCTGATCGAACCTTTTGAGTAGCACATGTACAGAATGTTTTGGAATAGCGTTATATGAAGGAGAATATTAAGGATCATGCCTTTTATGACGTTCGAAGATGGTACAGCGTCTGGCAATACCTCACATATGTACACCGCAAATAGAATTCGTAATTCGAAGATAACCTAACCTAACGATAACGCGTCACACAAAGATCGTATAATCCCCAAATTAGTTGGTGTTCATATTTCGAGGCTAAACGAGTGCGACGAAATTACTAACGGAACTTAATTAAGTGGAAATTAGATGGTGGTAGAAAAATCGGAAAAGAACATGGAAGATGCAGACGTTCTGGCAGAGTTCGCAAGGTAGTTTGGCTCGGAGAATATCGATTCCTTTGCACACCGGTTTTTCTCCCTCGAAAAGCGTGGCGTGCATGCGCGCCGTGAATCACGTATTCATTTTTCGTCGAGTTCGTGAGAGAAGCCTCGGGAGCGCGTCAACGTGCTCTCAGGCGATCGTTAAGGCTCATTATGGGCCGATCTTTCAACGGATAGGACGTGGCCAGAGGAAAAAGAGAGAAAAAAAGAAATGTCAGCTCGTAAATCGTACGTTGGACGAAGTTAAAAGTGCGTCAACATCGATCCGTGACACGTGAACATTAACTTCCTTGTCTCGTTCGCTTCGAGAGATCTTGATCGATAGAGCTTAGATCCTTTTCGTAACTTTCACTCGTTTCGTCTTTTCACCGATCATAACCGTGAAAGACCGATGTTAATTAAATTCGTAATTAGTTGTCTCTTAACGAAGTTGCTATCCACCATTTCTAGTTTAGGAAATTAACAGTTCATTCCCGTTTCTCGGATATCGGTTCAAGCGTTTCATCGCCGGGGCAGAATTTATCGCCGAGTAATTCCGGCTTCGCGACGCGGCTTTTCCACGAGAGAACGCGGAAACCTATGCTAATCCGATCGAATCCTACCGGGATAGTATGTGTCCAGCTCGAAGGCGAACGCAAAAGCTTTTACGGCTTCCTTCGATGGCAATTGTCGTTTATGGGAATTAGAGGGTGGGGACTTCGATAACGCGAAGAGAATCTATTCACTGGAACGATAAATCGGATATATTCATTTTTTTGCTTATTTTACTGAAATGTTGCTGTTCTTGCAATCTCTTGGAACCTGCACTCTTTCGTTGTACAAATAGTCATGGACATTTTTCAATGCACTCTAACCAACCTTACTGATGGCTCAGTTAGAAGAAGTTTATCTGTGTTGGACAATAAACATTGACTTATAATTGTTTTATATCAGTGAGTACAATAAAGCGGACTGATTTCATGAGGGACACTCTGTACATCTTCTAATTATTTTATATCACTGGTTATAATAAAATGGACTGATTTCATGAGGGACACTCTGTACTTCTTATAACTATTTTACATCAATGATTACAATAAAATGGACTGATTTCATGAGGGACACTCTGTACTTCTTCTAATTATTTTATATCAGTGGTTATAATAAAATGGACTGATTTCATGAGGGACACTTTATGTATATCTTATAATTATTTTATCTCAGAGATTATAATAAAGTGGACTGATTTCATGAGGTACACTCTGTACATCTTCTAATTATTTTATATCAGTGATTATAACAAAGTAGACTGATTTCATGAGGTTCACTTCATACATCAATTATTACATGCCTGACATAGCAAAATGTATGTGGCAAATTATATAAAACTTCATCGATATAATAATAAAATAAGCATGCTGCCTTAAGAGCTTAAAATAACAACCAAAGAATTAATTTAAAAATTTCTTCACTTTAAAAAGTCCGTAACGTTACGAAGTGCAATTAGAACACATCTTTTGATCTCCAAAGAATTCTAAGAAGTTGTAAGCGAAGATAAATCAAAATCTTGTAGGTCATTTTGTATAGGAATAAATCTTTCATCGAAATGCTCGTCCCTTCCCTCTGAAGCAGAGATGGCGGGATTAAGAGTCCCGGTTGGTTCCAGGTTGGCGAAACGCGGCCAAGAAGCCCGAACTCGTTACCCGCCAGTCGGCTTCGTAAATTTCGTTAGCGCTACCTCGCATTCTCGCCTTAACGAGCGTCCACATGCTCGTTAGTATCCTCGAAGAGGATGGTTCCGCTTAGCTGAGCCCAACAACTGCGCCTCTCGCGAGCGGCCATTCTCATTCGAATCGATACACTTAATCAATGCCGATTCGGTTGATCTGTGTGAATTTTAATTATAACCCGTGTTTGAACGAGGTACCGTGGAAGAGAACGTGAGCTCGTTTGCAGGATCAAATATTTGCTTTGGCAGCTGATTTGTGATAATGATTTTCGGAGCGAAACCGATGGGAGGATTAGTTCGCGATGTAACAGCGGAGTTAATATAGGATGGAGCAGATCTGGAAATTGAAATTTCTGGTGTGTTAAATATTTGGGGAGGGTTAATAGTTAGGTTAGATATTTAGAGATCTAAAACCTCGCAATAATAAATAAAATGTTCAAGCT